TATTATTATTATTATTATTATTATTATAATAATAATAATAATAATAATAATAATAATAATAATAATAATAATAATAATAATAATAATAATAATAGTATACCGCCCTACTCCCAAAGGATTCAGGGCGGTGAACAGCCAGATAAAATACATATAATACAAATGTTAAAAAAGCATTAAAATACAATTAAATGATTGGCCCGGAAAACCAAAAGTATAATGCCAACATTCACTTAAGGAAGAAAGCCAAACAAAAATCTTTGGCTAAAAGCAGATTCATTTTAATATAGTATAAAAACATTTGGTCTCAGTCGGCAAAATAAAGCATTATGAAACAGACTGGATCCAAATAAGGCACTTATTTAATGTAGAAGAGTCTTTTAAAATTATTCCAGTAAAACCTCAGAATGTATCTTCCCTCACTTTTTAATGCCATTTCCCTCCTTTTTTTCTATGAGATACAGAGAGTCTGAAAACAAACAGAATCTAACATGTAGAAATGTATGTCTGTGGAGATTCTCAATCATCCAGGTCATGGTTTTCCCAAAGGTGCTTTTCTAAAAGGCAACTTTTAGAAAATTGGATTTCCTTGGTTTTTTTCCTTGAAAACGTTTCGCTTCTCATTCAAGAAGCTTCTTCAGTTCTGACTGAACAGGGCAGAAGGGAAGGAGCAACCAAATAATGGCAAAGAATATAAATCCTTCCATCCCCATCATTCAGTCAGAACTGAAGAAGCTTCTTGGATGAGAAGCAAAATGTTTAAGAAAAAACCCTCCCATGAAAGTCCAGTTGGAAAAGCACTTTGGGACATATAGAAATGTACAAATACAGAAAAGCCATGACCATATTACTGCCAACTAAGAGAGCTCACAAATGCAATCTCAAGTGAGAAGCAGCATAAGGTAGGTTTCTGTAATAGATTAATAAAGAATACAGACTATAAAAGAGCACCAAATATTGAAATAAAATATTGAGCCCATTAGGGATTGGCCTTCATATTCCTAACTAATATAATCTCCTCTTATAGCAGGATTCATTGGTCTCCCTTCTCAGAGATAATCCTCATTGCCAAACCACAATAGTGTTTTGCAGCACTGTTGTTTCTAGAGTTAAAACAGTCTTGAAATATCTCCAACAACCCTGTTCATGGCACTTTTATTTAGAATGTATTGTATGTCAGGTTTCGGTGCTATCTTGAATAAACTTCATTCTCAAGCGCAAGCTGTCTAATGAATCATTTTATTTTTAAGAATAGCAGAATCCGACATTTCTGATTCAAATTGCAGCCAAACTGGCCCCTCCTTCCAACCCCCTCCTCTTCCGCTCTCCAACCCCAATGTCCCATTGGCCATCATACAGATCCATCTCTACATCCCGGCACGTTCTTTTCACAGGAATGCAGCCCCCATCCTCGTCTCCCAGGAAACACTATCTGTACATACAAAACTAGGTAAAAGTTCATCTCAGCAATAAATCAAGCTTCCGCTCTTTCTGCTTCAACTTGTTATGTCAGCGCTGGAAGAAAGCCTAATTTGGAACGCTGACATTGTATCAATAAACACTAAAGTTAATTGGTCTGTTTTTAAGCTGTACAGAGAATTCACTTATGGGCTTTCCTTGTCATCAACCAAATCCATGCAGCAAGACAACTAATTGCTGGAAATATCTATGTCCTCTTTCTCAATCATATACAAGCGCACACTTCAGGGACATATGCATGCGCTTCCATTATGTACAGTAGAAGAGAACCCCTGTTTATAATTAGTAATACTTCAGGTGTGGAATTTTAAGAATTGCATGAACAAATCACACTGCTGCTAAAATTAGACCATTTGGACATTTGTAAATAAACCATCTAATGACCTCTTTCAAAACAATGAAAGATTGATAACGTAATTTAGCTTTTGTGTACAATTACAACTAGGTCTTATAATTGTCCCATCCCAAACTTTTTTGAGGTAATCAATATCGGTTAGTTTAAAAGTAGCCATTATGTATAACTTTTGTAGTTCTGCTTGCAATAGAATGATCTAAATTACAAACAGTAATTTAGAACACATAAATATCTCCTAAAGAGACCACTTAAAGTGATCACATTGAACTTCAACAGGAATTTTATAGATCAGAATTATATTCTTGAACTTAGATTTTGGCCAGTCATTGAACCTTGAGAAAACATACTCTTCATATCTAACTGGTTAAATCAACTTCGGTAATTTTCTCCTAAACAACATTTTTATTGCACATTTTTGGAACCTATTCCTTCAAGATGATAGGTTAATTTTTCTGTAATGAAGTACAATTCTTGAAATATAATTAACCCATCACCAGTTAAATGTGAAGGAAAATAGTTGCATTATTTTTGCTTAGTGAGATGCTTAGCTAGAAGATAAAATATTCCATGGTTTCATACATCAGTGGTACCTTAAAGCTAACTGTCAAGTACACAAATATTGAAAGAACAAACATTTGTAAAGATATTTTATATTAATCACTTTATACTTCCACAACCATCATTAGATCATAAAGTGGTTCAAAGGCTTCTTGCACAGCCATCTCCGATGGAGCAACTGTTGCAGTCCCAGCTGGTGGAGCTTTCTTGCAATTCAGGTCTGAAAAGGGACTGAACCATCGCAGTGAAAAATTACCCCCAAAAGCCAGTTTCATCCCTTCCCAGCTGCTGGCTTTTTCCCAGGTTGGCTGCTCTTTTTTAAGCTGTTCTATACCCTGCAGAAGACAAAACAGTTTACATTTATTCATTAAAGGCATACGGAACACTGTTATGTGATGCATAATAACCTAAATAATTTAAGGAATTTACTGAACGTAGATAGAGAAAAACCTTCAAAAGAAAAAAATATGAGTCTACAATGTTCTTCAGCCATTAACAGGAAACCAAAAAGAGTATCACATCAGAAAAATATTGGAAAATATTTATCTGCACCTAATGAAAAAAATTATATACTCTTTACCATATTTTAGATTAACAGGTGCCAAATTAAAATCTGATGAATGTCTACGCAGAATTCCCTAAGATACTTTAGTTATATCTCAGAATTTTTCTGATTAGGATTACATAAATCTCATTCTGGAATTTAAAGGCTAATATTTTTGTGCATACTTTATTCCCTGCTTTTTTTCTTAGAATAACTTATGTTGATTCTACACAAGACTTTTATTGTACAATTGCTATGCTTTCTTAATGGAATTGTACAAGAGCTCAGGTTATGCCATCTTTAACTTCTAAATCTCCCATTCCCCCACCCACCTTTCTTCACACAGAAAATTCATTGGAAGAGCTGCCCCATGGGTTTGATCTCTAAAGTTCTCATCTAAAAATGCTTTGAATAGTTAGCTCAATTTTAAAAAATCTAGCAATAATAATGGATAACATTTCAAATTAAATAAACAGTAGTTCTAATGAAAAAGAGACCTGTTTTTAGATTAACTATGGATCTTGCATAATTGCTAATTTGCTTAAGAAGCTCTTTGCTCATGTGTGACATAATAGAAGAAATACATTTTCACTGCATGAAGTTTTCATTTAAAAAATATTAATAGGAGGGGGAAATTACAAGTGAGATCAAAAATATTTAAAGAAATTAAATATTAAATTCACTTTAAGAATTTAATCAACTAAATTTAAAGGTTCTAGTAACTTTTAACTAAAGAGAAGTTTTCATAAAACTATGGTCAACAAAACATCATTTCAGAATTAGCAAGCTGAGGAGAAGTAATGTCTGTGAGACAAGATCCATAGGTACAGTATAAACTTACATATACAGCCAACCCTATGTTCTCTTCTCAACATTCAGGAAACTTCAATAAGCAAAACTCCTTCGCACATACTAATAGATGTGCAAGTCTATGGAAACTATATCTAATCTTTCAAATGTATTCTCTTAAAATAAGAGAGTATGTTTTAATTTTAAGGCAGTTTCATGTGTTCTAAGGCTAAAATTACAGATTTAGAGGGATCAAGATGGGAAAAATCTATTTCCAAAGCAATATATTAATGTAACATTTTTACATTTAAAATACCCACTGAAATACATTGATCTAAAGTTAACACATTAAGCCAGAGGTTTTCTTTTATAAATTTCTAAGTGATCCCTTTCAACAACAGTCTTCTGATTCTATTAAAAGCTTTTCCAGAAGATTTCAGAATGTAAGCAAAATGAGACACATTACTGCCACGTTTAAACAGTGATTAAGAAGGCAGTTTTAATTATAAAAAATGTATGGTGATTCAAAATTTGGGAAAATAGCATTTGTAATGTGAGACAATAGGGAAAATAACATCTTTTAGAAATTTATTTTGCCACTGACTACATAGATTTGTTCGCAACTCACAATAAAACATTCAAACAGAAAATTAAGCATTGGAGAATCAGTACAATGTGCATCATTTTTTATACTGAATTCAATAAAATGCTGCAACTACAAAATGTTCATCTGATTTTATTCTAGATGTAAGGTTCCTATTCCTCTTTTAGGTATATTAGGGAAAAAACCAGATCCATCTGTGCAATCAGTCACCAACTTGATGTTTTGATCTGGATACCCTTGATCCCATGTTTTGGATTTTATGAATCAATGCTATGATTTCCTGTAGGGGAGGTTTCCCTGTTAAATATGGAAATGCTACAATTATATTTTAGAAATCCCTAAAGAAACTTTAGGGATCTGTTTCAGAGTTAGTTCAGTAGTATGTTAGTTTCTGGGCAATCTCCAATGTTGTACTTTCAAAAACGAGTGCTATGAAATATTATAAATCTGCAGTTTGGATTAGATAACCATCAGCATTAGGTTTATTATGTTCTAGTAATAAACTAGTAGGGACCATACTACAAAAAATTGAAATTACCTATCTTATATTATATATTCACTTTGCATATTTCAATGTTTTAGAAATAATTCCAATTTGTGTTTGGAACTCAGTGATCAATGAGTCATTTAGTAAAATAAACTATTCAGTTTGGAAAGAATAAAGAACCAAATTCAGTGTAAAATCATTTATTTGACTTGAATGTAAATAATTTTATTCATTGATAGCTAGGCAAACATAAAATTATTTGACTTTTTTTCAGAGATAGACAAATTAGTTTATTATAGCAAATCCAAAATGGTATCCTGTGACAAATTTATTGCAGTATAATTTTTATGATCCACCAAAAATACACCATAAAATAATACAGCTAACAGAACCACCCATCCTCAGATCTATTTAATTTCTAGAGAGATATTTAAAACTTGGGAAACTATAGAATATGCTGTCCAAAATTCCTCAAAATGGAAATGATCCAAGCCTCCATGGAGATAAAATTCTACAGTTAGAAAGCTGATGAAAACTGGAACAGAAAATGCTCCCTCATCACTGGAAAGTTGGTCTGCTGGAATAAATCTGGTAAATTACTTTTAATATGTAGAGAAGACCTAAACACATTTTCATATTCTCTTTCCAATAACTTGTTTTATAAATCACTGAGGTTCTTTGTCTAATAGGCTAGTAATTATAGTATCATTTTAAAAAAAATCAAAATCATGATCTAAATATAATAGCTTAAAATAAATTTCACTGAATTCAGTGACTCTTACTTCCAAGATTGAAAGGTAATATCTATTTCTTATGATTGCTGTAAGTATTTTTTTCAAAACATCTCTTAACACAGATCATTGAGGATTACTGACCCACAAAATATATTCTTCTGCATTAAAAATTTTAATATGTAATTGTGGAAATAGAAAACTAGTTTTGTTACAAAAATGTCTGCTTGCTTGTTGAACATATAATGACAGAATATAAAAGTGTAGCCATAGGACTATTTTATCCAAATAAATTTAACACTAATTACTCAACTATCTACAATCTAGAGGACAATGGAATTTAGAAAAACTTGTTTTAAATAAAGGCACAGAAGCAGTGTTCAGAAAAGGTTTATTGCATTTGTTCCCCATATGGAAGCATTGACAGTACTGAAAAAATGCAGCATTCACATTATTTTCCAAATGAGACCATCAGAATTTTTAAAATCCAAAATATGCAATGAAATCCCTGCCTATATTCTAAAGTGTTACAGACTCACTCAGTTTGGGTGTAAGATGTTCTACTTATATTTGTTTTAAATAGAATGCCTTCTATTTAGTCCTCATTTCCAAGCTCTTACTATGTATACAGTTTGCCATCAATTTAATCATGAACGAAGGCATGCATGATCTTTTTACACATGACAGTTCTAATTGTAAAATATATATGAATAGAATTAAAGCAGAACAAATATCTAAAGATATGAAAAGGAGGTAATGTTAAAAATAAAATTATAGAACAATGCTAGACTTTTACCTGGATTTTTAAGCCTCTTCTATATATAAACACTATTTATTAACCATTCCCCTTTTTTAATTAATACAAATTTTATCTTGCTATTCTACACATTTAAATCAACTTCCCACATTTCTTCAATTATAAGGCATTACAAAGCCACACATATAACAACTTTCATTCATATAACCAATAATGACAATTCCTGCTTTCCAGAAAGATATGGTTAAAAAAACAGCACAAGAATAATTCTGTAGCTCTCCAAAATACAATAGTGTTGGCAACATATTTTAAAGCTTAAAAACTAAGCAAAGTTATCAACTGGCCTTCTAGTTGAGCTGTATTTTCTCTTTCATTATTTCAGATATTATGTGAGGCTTTAACTCAGATGCATACAAAATACCACAACATAAAAGTATTTTCTGCCACAAAGAAGTTCATGACTACCCATATAAAATGATATTCCTGGCATAGGCTGTTGTTTAGTGATTGTGTAAATACAGAGAGAGGAGTTTCTCCTTTACATTAGTTGTGTCAGCAAGCAGACAAGGAAAAAATAGGCCAGTCAAATTATTAAGTAAAAAAAAAGAAGAAAACGCTTCAGCCAGAGATGAAGAATTACCAAAGTTTGCAGAATACAGGCCTGCTTTTTCCCTCCCTCAACTTTTCTCTGTAGTTATCTGCCCTTTACAGGCAGTTTTTTTTTAAACAAAAGGTTTTTTCATTGGAAACATTCATATGTAATAGACATAGTGCCGCAAATGCAGTTTTGTTTGGGTGAAAATGTTGTCATGAATTCTTAGACCACATACTGATATGGGTCGGCTTTTCCTTGATCTGGAGTAGCAAATGGGCTAAGCCAAACTATAGAGAACGGATGGCCGAATACTGCTTTCATGTTCATCCATTTTGTTTTTTTAGCCCATCTTCTCTCTTCTTTTTTCAACTGTTCTATTCCCTGAAAACAGAAATATGACATTTTCAGGCAGGAACTTATTTTGTACTTCTGGTTTCGGGGAAAAGATTCCCTCTTATCTATCCTTTATCAAATGACTGGAGCAGGAAAATAGTAAGATTTTCTAAACATATTTTTCAAAAAATTAACAAAGGCTGGCAGGGGGGATGGAAAACCAATAATGTAGAAATGAAAAAAAATAATAGTTGCCATGACAACTTTAGGAGTTGATATTAATATTCTCCTTCCCCAAAATACTTAACAAACCAATTATGTTTTATTTAAATGAGTAATAAAAAAATATACATTTCCAGATTTAAGAAAAGTCTCAGCCATTACTTTTCCAGTTTCATTTAATCATGTTTATTTTCTGCAATTCTGATGCCATTCAGATGCACTGAAATTTTATTTCCCAAAATTCCTCAGCTAGCATGACCAATATAGCAACAAGTTACAAACCCAGCACATCTGAAGGGCACGTTGTTAGAGAAAGTTGCAGTCACTCGCCAGCAGAAGATAGAATTGCAAGGTAATATATAGGGGGAGACAGGAACAGTATTAGCTTAGGAAAATTCAGAAGAAGAATACATGTCAGATGAGTTTCTAATACCTCAGTAATAAGCACCTGTACCTGCATTAAGAATTGGTTAGGCTATAAAAGTTACATATTAGATATTTTTGGAAACTGATCCATTCTCCTTCTTTCAGGTCAATTTTTCAAGTGATGTGTCTTGAGGCTCATGAATTAATTAGGGCATCTTTTGGAAACTTCACAGGATGCTTATAAATACAGGAACGATAGAGTCAGTTATGCCATTGTCCTTAGTAAATTGGCCGGGATATCAAATTATTTGCCTTAGTAGTGAATGGACAATTCAGATTACACTCACTCACTTCTCCCAAAATGGGTGTGGCTGATAAATATGATAGATCTCTCCATAGTTTGCTTAGCACATCACTGCATGAAACAGACAAAACAGAGAAAGAAATACAAATACATGGTGATTCCTTTCTCTGGTTTGCTTTCCCTGAAAAAAAACAAGTCCATGTTCATAGTTCACACAATATGTACAGCAAATCACTCATGGAGCTGTTAACATAGTTATTAAACATATCTATGCATAGATGGAGTCAGCTACACTGCTTACCCTTATATACTATTTGGTCATGTTACATTATACTGTAGTATGATGTTCAAACTGGAATACTGCATTGACGCCATTGAAAAACGTTTGGAAAAACAAAATTTAGACACAAAAGCACAGTGACAAGGGATATAGAAACAATACTGTACTTATAGAGTACAGTACAGGTAGTCCTTGACTTACACAATTCATCTAGTGACCGTTCTAAGTTATAACGGCACTGAAAAAAATGACTTACAGCTGTTTTTCACACTTATGACCATTGCAGCATCCCCTGATTGCATGATCAAAATTTAGGTGCTTGGCAACAGGTTCATATTTATGTTGGTTGCAGTGTCCCGGGGTCATGTGACCTTTTGTGACCTTATGACAAAGACAATGGGAAAGCCAGATTCACTTAACAATTGTGTTACTAACTTAATAACTGCAGTAATTCACTTAACAACTGTGTGTGGCAAAAATTGTTATAAAATGGGTCAAAATTCATCCAACAACTGTCTTGCTTAGCTTTAGAAATTTGGGATTCAGTTGTGGTCATAAGCTGAGAACTACCTGTAAAGGGATACAATATTGCCTCTTCCCCAGAATGCAAGATTTAAAACAAAGAAAAAATATAGGATACAGCCAAAATATAGTATTTTGATAGAAGATAGCTTTAAATTACAGAATCAAAATTTCACAAAGAAAATATTTTTGTACACAATATTGCAAAAAGAGATAGAAATACATTTTAAGCTCACTGTACAAATATCTAAAAAGAAACAAGTTCTGAATGTAATTTTATATAAATTATTGTATGAAATATGCTATCCATCAATCTAATTATTAAAAGGACACAGGGGAAATCAGAAAATCATAAAACCATCAAATTAATTTGGAATCACAATATTTAATTATTAAACAACTGAGCAAAAATCATGTTGACTTATGTTCAGCACGCTTTGCTAGCACAACTCTTATTTATGATTCTGAACGAAATTCTGAAGTTAAGTTTTATGTTATGGAATAATAAAGTAAATAATGATTGCATTTAGACATAACAGTGAACCTTGGCTTGCATTATGACAAGTCATAAATGTCAAGCTTGTTTACTTATTTATCACTTGGCTTTACATGCTGCTCTAATCAAACTGATTCTGAATAGCTTAAAAAATCTCCTTAAAGACTATAAAGTAATATATAGATCAAATCTAAATAATTTCTCACCAATGTGATATATAATGGGAACACGCCATCTACCATTCTTTCCCTCTGGATCATAACAGCTCTACATAACACTAATAACAATGGAATCAGCCTCATCTCTGGGGAAAATTTGCTGCAGATATATGGGACTATTACTGAGGAGGTCACTCTTGAGGTCCCTAATTCATCCTGTCATTCTACCCTGGCTGAAAGGATAAGAAGCTTCTGATATCTGTTGTTATGTATGCAATTGCTATTAAGCTTTTTAAAGCCAGGTCACGAAGCAGCATAACAGTATTAATAATAAATTAACCGGTTGATGAATACACAATATTTGTTTAAACTCAGCAAAATTATACTTTACCCAATATAAAATCCAAACCAAACTAAAACTATGATTTGAGATCTTATTTTATGGCACAGTGCTACCTTGCAAAATTTGTCAGCTCTATTTATTTATAAATTAATGCTTATATATTTATATAATCATAGACTACAATACAGAAAAGTGGAACAAAAATAAACAAAAATAAGCATATAAATGTAAACTATTGATAAAATGCAAAATCATAATATTTAAATATGTCTCAAATTTTAAAATGTCTGGAATGTAAATGTTGGGGGTTGGTGTTATATTTCCCAACTACTACACTAAATCTAACTTCTTTTACACATATCTCAGCTCTGGGTTAAAAAATAAATGAGCAATGTTTAGTGTCATCCAAATAAGATGAAAGAGGTGGAACAATTAACAAACACTGAGCATCTTGGTATACTGTATGCACAGTCTATGAGCACATAATCTACTGATTCTACTGTTCTGCTACAGTATTGCTCTATTTTCCATATAGCACTAGAATAAGTTGTTAATGATTTGCTAATATTCTGTTCTTTGTATGTCATTAGATGTAGCGTTGGTCCTACCTGATACGATCCTTCTCATTGAGGCAGCATCCAGGAATGGGTTGTCCTCGTCTGTCAGCCAATAAGATCAAGTCTATCAAAGCTGTAAAGACACGCCCTCTGCTAATGGTCTCCAGCTTTTGGCGAAGGTGAAGGGACAGACTCTACATGGTCATCATTGATACGATCCAGTGTGGACCTTGGGCCAGCCCTACGCTAGGGAGGGACTGGATGCTGCCTCCACTCAACGAGAAGGAGCATATCAGGTAGGACCAACGCTCCTTCTCCATCGTAGTGGAGGCAGCATCCAGGAATGAGACATACCAAAGTGGTTGTGTCGTGATGGGTGGCCTCAGCCTGGCCCAAGGTCCCCTCATCTGCATACACTCTCTGTAGAACCTGCCTACCAAAGGCTGCCTCAGCAGAGGCATATCTGTCCAACCTATAGTGCTTGATAAAAGGGGATGGGGAGGACCAAGTGGCAGCCCAGCAAACCTCCTCCAGGGATGCTTGTGTAGCCCATGCCATACTTGTGGCCACACTCCTTGTGGAGTGTGCTGTAATACTCTTGGGCAATGGAAGGGCCTGTATCTCGTATGCTTTGGTGATACACGCCCAAATTCAGCGGCCCAGGGTCGAGGGAGTGACCTTAGCTCCTAAAGTGGCTGGCTGAAATGAGACAAAGAGCGACTCCGTCCTCCGAAAGGAGGAAGTCCATTTAATATAAATCTGGAGTGCCCGTTTCACATCTAGTGTATGCCATTCTCTCCAGTGAATGCCCTGGCCTGGGACAGAAATCAAGGATGCAGGGGCCACTCGGCATGATCAATTGTGGCCCTGCTAAGCCAATCTGCCTGTACATTAGAAGTCCCTGCAATGTGCTCTGCCCTCAGGGACATATGGAGCCGCTCCGCCCAAAGACAGAGTCTCTCCACTTCTCTCATAAGGGACCTGGATAGGGTACCCTCTTGTCTGTTAACATGTACCTTAACGGCAACATTATCTGTTCAACTCAGCACGTGCCTGCCGGCCACATCGTCTTGGAATTGCTGAAGAGCCAGATGGATTGCTCTAAGCTCCAGCCAGTTTATATTATGGGTCAAATCATTCTGGGACCATTGGCCCTGTGCCACTCTATTCAGGAGATGTGCTCCCCAGCCAAAAGGGCTGGCATCTGTTGTTACTGTCACTGACTCTGGTTCCTTGAAAAGGCAACCTCTAGTAATTGCCTCAGATTCCCACCATAGTAGGGAGTGAACTACCTCCTGTGAAATTCTAACCTTGCAAGGTAATGTGCTCCTGCCTGATCTCTGATAAGGGAGAATAAACCACTGGAGAGCCCTGGCGTGGAAACGAACCCAAGGCACAATGGAGATGCAGGATACCATCTTCCCCAGGAGCTGTGAAAGCACTGACAGGGGCACGAGTTGGTCACCTCGGACCCGGCCTACCAGATCCTGTATGCTCGCCTGCCTCTCCTGAGAGAGATACACCCTGCACTCTAAGGTGTCTATCTCCACCCCCAAATGCAGCAATCGATTAGTCGGTATCAAGTGACTCTTGCTGACATTAATTGAAAACCTGTGATCCTAAAGCACCTGTATCATATACATACCATAGATCCCTATGGGTCTGGGACTTGGAGGTAGATTGAATCAGGATATCATCCAGATAGCACTGGACGTGCACAGGAACAGCCCAGAGGTGTGCTGCTAAGGAAGCGAGCAATTTGGTAAAGGCCCTAGGCACTGATGACAGGCCAAAGGCCAA